CTCGAGGACATGTATGGGGATCTGTGGAAACTGCAATTAACTGGTAACACCAACTCAAACATTTATTATAATATAACAGATTTAGGTAAAAAAGCACCACTTTTCAATATTATAAAATACATATGAAAAACCAACACTTTAGAACAAAAATATAGGACATATTTTCTGTAATACAAATGAATGGTTTATTTTTTTTTACTAAAAGGTCCTTTGAACTCTTATTTCATGTCCAATGTTTCAAGTCCAATTACCAGAAATCTTAAAAATCGCTGCCATAGAGAACAGGATCATAATCAACCACGCGAGCGGTTTGTGGATCCAAATGACATGCCTTCTGAAACACGAAAGAGTTGGAAGCAATCAATTTTTGGTCACCCATCCCATGACCGGTCTCTGTGAAAGTTGCTTAACCTCCACATCCGCGGAATGAATAATTATATCACTATCGAGTTTCTGCTCTCTACACAATGTGTAGTAAAAGACACTGCGCAGTGGCAAATATTATAAAAGTAGGTACACGTTATAATCATGCTGTTATCGAGTATAGCTCTGAGTTACATGAGGTTATATCACCAAAGTCACGCTCAACATGCATTATATCACTAATTATATACAATTAAGGTATGGTTTTACAAGAGTCCAAGATTTTTTCTAAGTAGAAAAACATATTTGGTAAAAGCTACCGAGATTGCTCTAAAATACTAAATAGTTTGAAAAGATCTATTTTACGATTATTTATCTTAACTAAAAATTGGCATATTTAGCAAGAGCTGGAGTAAAATCTGGAGTAAATGTTTCATGAATAAAAAGGAAATAAGATCTTCCTAAGATACCTACGCTTAAATGATTATAGAGAAGCTTATACACTCATAGGCACAATTAACTGCCCACCTTCTATTTCTTCCGATTCGCAGAGATCGCCAAACTTAGACCATATTTTATATGAAAGGAATGTTAAAAACTATACTTAGAATATGAAAGAATACTAAAGAATATGAAAGAGTCAATTTTTTGGACAAAAAAGTCTTTCATTAAGGGATGCTTACCAAAAATATTTTTTTTGAAAATCTTTAATGAAAATTTTAAAATTTTGGTCTTGAAAGAAAAAATAATAATAGTGAGTATTGTCACCTCTGGCCCTTACGACTTTTTGGAGCCGGTTTGTCAACTCATCCATGATGTCTTAAATATCCGAATGGGGGATATTGTACCACTCTTCTACTGCAACCGTTTTTAGCTCCTTTATAGTCCTAGGGACTACTTTTGCTCTGACACGTCTTTTAAGATTGTCCCAAATATGCTCTATTGGGTTAAGATCGGGATTGCGTGCGGACCATGGTAAAACTTGAATCCCGACCTCATAAAGGTACTCACTGACGGATCTTGTGGTACGACAACGTGCGTTGTCATGCATGAATCTGAAGTTGTCACCAATTAACGGAGCGAAAGGTATGACATGGTCTTGAAGAAATTCTTCCACGTATCTTTGAGCGTTTAAACTTCCTCTATCGAACACAACAAGATCGGTATGAGCCTCATAAGAGATACCTCCCCATATCATTCTGGATCTTCCCTGGTAACCTACTGTTTCAGTTATAGGGCATGGAGCAAACCAAGCAAACCTCTCATTTCGACGCCTGTAGACACGCTTTTTCTAATGGTACATTCACTGGCACTGACATTTCTCACCTCAAAAAGACGCGTACGAATTTTAGTAGCAGTCGAAAAGCGATTTTTCAATACATTGGTGCATCGAAACGGTCATCTCGAGTCGAAGTGCATCGATGCCGGCCTTGACCTGGACTGCGGGTATATAAGCCTGTCTCCCGAAATCGTCTGATGGCATCTCGTGCCGTAGCTCGAGGTACACAGAGTGTGCGAGCGATGCGACGCTGGCTATACCCCGCATCAGCTAAAGCCACTGCCCTACATAAGCTGCATCGAGTATTATTTTTTGCAATAACAACAAATGAGCAAACACTATAATTTCAAATTAAACAATATTCGCCCACTATGATAGAAAATAACAGGAAATTTTAACTCTGCAACAAAACAGCAACAACAGGTGACACAAATTTAGGAAAGAAAATAATGGTATAAGTATTTTATTTATTGCTAGAGTACCCACTTAACAAAAAACAAAACAGTTGATAAGTCATAGTTGATAGAACCAAACAGGGTGATGAATAATACAGGTGGGTGGTTAATTGTGCCTGTCAGTGTATAAACAAAGATTAGTAATCAAAATATATAAATAAGTAGGCAGGATAGGTTTTAGTACATTTAAGTTTTAAATTACAATGGTATAGAACTGTTTATGTGTGAGAGAATTACCAGATACATGGTATAGAACTGTTTATGTGTGAGAGAGAGCTATAAAAAACGTAAATTATAGAGAACATAAATATTAGAAGGAAGAAAATGAGTAACTGAAAATCTTAACGAGAAGTCTGGTAATAACGCATAGACTACAAGTTAATTGAATACTAGTTATTTCCAGCGATTTTGCTCACGTTGATTATATACCCTATGTCATCCGAGTATGACGTAGCTTCTCTTGGGTGAACGATTTTTTAAAGCGGTCCAATAGTTTTGGAGTCTATTTAATAAACAATAAAATCTCTTCTTATTTATAATATTAATATAGATTTCGTTGGCACAGAGCATATCGGTGTGATTCCACCTGAATCTGGTGTGCCTCAGGGACCAAACTTAGAGCCTATCTTCTATCAACGTACTGAAGGAGGAACTTTTCTATATTGTCTCCGTTCTGGATGTTATGTTACTTTCGTATTTTCAGATTTCCATCGTAAAAATGGTTAAGCCACTTAATTTGGAATTTACGTATCATTGTGTTATTATTAAATTTTTATTGATTGCTTTTACATTTTAGTTCAAAATAGATAATAAATATTTGAGCTATTTGATCACATTTAAATAAAATTATCAATATATTTACAAATAATTTATTATCATAATAAAAATATATAACATAGGCAAAATAAAACGCAACATTCGCTAATCAAATGATTATTTCAATATCTAAACTTTACATGCTAAAGATTTCTTTGTTAAACTACTTAAAACTATTAAAATAAATGATTTCATCGATATCGCGCAATATTTACGTGTAACGTAAAGTATAATATAATTTTAACAGTCTTTTATTCTAAGCAAACGAATATAAAAAATAGCATTACGGTGGAATTTTCAAGCTAGGTAAGCTAATATAGTCATAACCATTGACAAAAACGAAAATAATATAAAAATTACATGCCATAATAAGAAAAAAATTGTAGTATTTATAACAGGCAGGGCAGAAAAGCCGGTGTTAGTCACTGTCACCTTTATGTCCACTATCTGAATTTGTCAGTCAATATTTTATGGCAACATATGTTCCTACATATAAATTAGTTCGCAACATGTGTCCTGCAAAGACATTGCAACACACATATATGCAAATTATCACAAAATTATTAGTCATACATTTCATGACAATTACCTATTTATGCATAAACTTTTTAATTATAATTCAAATTTAAAAAAAAATTAACGAACTTATGTATTAAAAAGCAATAAAATTATAATCAAAAAATCTTCGATTATTTGTATATGATCGAACACTAATCGAAGAGTTCCTTTAAAATTTTTCTATATCTTTCATGTATTTTGGATTTATCCTATATTTTTATCGACCTATATTATGTCGATAAAAAAAAACCTAAGCTTAAGAAACTTAAACAAATTACACATGGAGTTCTTAAACAAATAACACATGAATTTTCTGTTTCTTAAGCTAGCTCAAGGGGAACTACTCCGATAACTCAGACTTATATGCGCATATAAGACAACGCTTTGAGCGCATTTTAATCTTCAGGCTCCTATATGAGCATATTATAGGAAAATGTACACTGAGGAAGCTATATTTTTATCGACCTATATTATGTCGATAAAAATAAAATCATATAGCTGAAGAAACTTAAACAAATCACACATGGAGTTTTGTTATTTGTTTCGGTTTCTTAAGCTATATATTTGGGAACATATATCTATGGATTGCATATACAAATTACTGTTCTTTTGTACAAATTTGAGAACTTCGAATAAACAGATAGAAGTTAGAGTAAGTATAATAAGTTTTATAAAATGAGGTTTACATCTGAAATCTGTCAAATGTGTTATAAAATTATGCGTTGGTACGCGACCGATCTGTCTAGAATATTAAAAGACGGGGTAATTTTGTATAACTCCGCCAGTTTTGAAGCATAAATCGATAAAAATGGTTTTTAGCTGTAGTAAATAGCAATGTTGAATATCATATCATTATATTTTCTTGACGTTCCGAGACCGACGATACACGATGCATCTTCTACTGTTAGGTAATAAATGTATGAACGATTTTTTTTAAATACAATTTCATAAATTAATGGCGCCAAAACAATATCAGGAGTACCGCCTAACTCTCTTGCCAAAGTGTATGATATTTTAGCGAATATTATGACGATATTTTGTATCATTTTACTATTTTTAGGTGTCTTTAGGTGGATAAATTTGGGATAAATTACTTAGTTGGAAACACTGCTGTCCAATTCATATTACTTAATTATTCTTTATCATTCTTTCTTTGTTATTAAAGTATTTACATGTCAAGTAGTAAAATAAAACAAAATAGCGCTATAACATCGCTAAAATGAGATTTGTAGCTCTCGATAGTTGACTCTATGGGGCACTTTGCCTTATTGATCTTAACGAGCTCACGACTGAAGGTGAAAGATTGAGAGTGAAGGTTACATAGGTTTTTTTGGTTCATGAAACCAAATGACGAAGGTCCTTATTTGAGTTGGTCGCAATGTGATGATGTAATTTGTCTCTGTAGGTGGATTATCAGCTTCCGACGAGTTGGCTTCACCGCTGTCCTCTTCTTTCAGTATGCTCCTTTAAAAAATATTGAACATGTTTGTATTAAAAAGTGAAATAGTGAAACAAACTGACAGGGTATTCTATTTATAAATGACAGTTGTCATGGTGCGCGCAAACAACAATTCTTCTTCTTTCATAATCCATGGCCTACAAAACAACAATTAAACATCAAAGAATGAAGCTTATGATTTTAGTGATTTTGGGCGTACGAAGAATTTATTATTTAAGTATTTATGTTTTATATAACACAAGCAAGCTCAAACAAAAAAAAAAACAGTCATACTTGATGTACTCACGTTTTATGACAGTATGAAGTTTGTGTGATCAGTTAAAGAACTAAAAACTCTTTTATTATTATCATTCTAGAGCACCCAGGCCCTTTAAAAAGTTGATTAACAACTTACCTTTTCCTACGTTTCTCAATCTTTCTCTCATATAAGTCTCTATATTCATTATCTCTATCTTTCTCCTCTTCATTAGAATCTGGATCGTCGTATTCCTGGGAATCTGGTTTACGACGTTTCTCTCTCGCATTTGACGTTTGCGCTTTATAACCATCTGCAAAATAATTGAACAAACTTTTGAAATAGACACATTTTTAGATACTGCGGCACATCAGGTTACCACAATATGTCAAATTTTCGAATTCGATTTCCAACTCTACCGTCAAGGTATAAAGGTTTAAAATAAAGTGAACAAATGGGACATATTCATATAACCTGTAGTGCTGATACTGGGATCACTAAAATATTATGTATGAGTATGGTTTTAAACAGTGTCCCAATTAAAATAGCCATGAACAAATATTACAAGTATATAATGTACTATTAAAAAAAATGGCAGCTGATTTTGTAATGTCAGTTTGTTTAGATACACTTGAAAGGTAATTAACGATATACTTGAAAGGTAATTAACGAGACCAAGATATTTCTTGTAATAATCCTTTCATCATTTAAAAGTTAATGTTTATTAATATAAAAATTAACTTTTTGTTAAATTTATTTGTTTGCATCGAATAGACTCCGAAACTATTTGCCCGTTTTATAATTCATTCACCTACGGGAAACTTCATCATATGCGGTAGATATAGGCTGTATTCTATCTCAAATAAAGGGATGAAAATGGGAGTGGAAGTTTGTATGTGGAACCAAAAGGGTGCCATAGAAATCATTTTTAATATTCAATTTGTCATTGTGGCTACACCTGTGTCATATATGAATCAATGTCCAAATAAACAGTTCCCTAGGAAGCACGCGGGTGAAGCTGCTGAGGGAAAGCTAGTTATATTATAAAGAGGAAAGATTTAATTGTTTGTTAATTTGCATCGAATAGACTCCGAACTACTGGACCGATTTTAATAACTACATATTTCACATACGGATAGCTACAACATATGACTACAACATATGACATATACTATAATTAACGCTTGCAGATACATGGGACAACAGCTAGTATTGTATATAATATCATATATGTCGCATCATCTTTACGAAGATCGTTTGATTTAGTTTCTTTTATTTTAGTTGGTAGTTACTCGATTACTTAATTACTCGATTGTAGAGATAGCGTGATCATCGATACTTTTAATTTTATTAGAATGGCGACACTGACTTTGACAGTTCGTTAACAAAAAGCAAGTTGCCGCCATTTTGGCACACATTCTGTTGCCAATCGTCGAGGAGTAAAGACATCCGGCGACATCACGCTGATCTCGTTATATTTTCGTATGAAAAGTAATAAAATGGAATAAATCCACATTGGCATACACGCCTGCAGTGTTATTTTAAAGATAGTCCTCCGATATGGACGATCTATTTGGGCTTCGTAATAGCCCCTTGAGACTACCCGCCGACATATAGTTTATGATATGACTTTATTCTTACCTCTAGTATTAACACCATAATCTTCCAATTCCAATCCATCTTTAGCCACAAGTTCCACACTACCTCCTGTTTTTCTCTTCCTATCTTCCAAGAAGAATGGCATATCTACTTTCTTAACTCTGCCTCTCTTCATATTCCTACTCCTGCTTCTTTTAGTGGTTGATTCAGAGGAATTGTTCGCATCTTCGGGTTCATTATTTTGACGGTACCGTCTATTCTTCCTCCTTTTCTTCCTAAATCTTGGTTCCATGTCTGTTGTTCGGGATTTGTTTATGTTTTTCTTACTTTTATAGTACATTTCATAAATTGATTTGGTAACACCGTCATCAGAATCTTCTACGGGATAATCTAGAAACAACAAACAAGCAGTGCTATTCTATAATAAATCAGCGTCAAACGAGGGCGAGCATAGCGCTGTCATAGCATAAATAAAACCTAATTAAAAAGGTAATATTTTTTTATATCGAGGAAGATCGAAGTAAACTCCAAAAGACTTCAAGAAGGTGAAGTTCTTTGGTACTAAAAAGTGCTTTTGTAAATATCGATATTGCTTTTTCCGTAGAAGAACCTCTGCGGATGCTGTCAGATAATATTTTTGAGTTGATATACCACTCTAAAGTTTTTGAGAGAACGAGCAAAATAGTGATAGGTCTGTAATTCGAAATTTCACCTTTCTTCTTCTTCTTCCCCCTTTGAAAAATTGGGTGAACAATTGGTTTTATGAAGTCGGAAAAACGACTTTTATCGATATATAGGTTAAAGATGTGACTCAAAGGGGAACCTAATGCATCGCAGGATGAATACTAATATTATATGGAGAAAAGATTTCATTGTTTGCATTAATTAACTGGACCGATATTAAAAATACTTTCACCCACGAGAACTATATCACAGGGGTAATATAGGTAATAATTTACTAGGGCAAAGTCGCGGGAAAACAGCTGGTTTCCAATATTTTTTATAAGTTCACATACCTGCCGGTCTCACTTTTTGGTTGGGTTTCTTTCTTTTTGGCGAGCGCTTCCTCAGATTTGAGGAGAAGTCTTCTTCATCAGATGGCACATCTTCATTTTCTTTAGCGATACCAGTCAAAAGTCTGTGTGGTCTTATTGTTCTGGTTGGGAAATTTAACCTTTGATATTTTACAGAAGCTGCTCGAGTGGTCTGAAATAAGTAATTACAATCAGTACAGACTGTAATTTGACCCGCATTAGTTACAAAGTTTCCTCTTGATACGCGATCAACTTATAAAACTTGTCAGTAAGGGATAAAACTGGAAACAATGTCATTAAACTGACATGGGTTTGAGTCTCTTTAAATCCGAATCTTATAACGAATTATCGAGTAAAATTATAGTATGTTAAAAATTTAAGTTAATTAATCAGCATTTAAGTCACACACACACACACACACACACAATATGCAATACAAAGTACTTGGTTAATAAAAATATAAGTGAAAGAGAAAACGCAAACGAAGTAATAATCTGACAGATCGTAAATTCTACGATTTAATACGTGCATCAAAACAGTTGTTTCATCTAATAATAAATTGGGTTCTGATATATAAACGCAAAGAAGAACTTAACAATAAATAAAATTATAGTTACAATTTCTATCGCCAGTAAACATATTGGTTATTTGTATATTTGTAATTACCTCAGTCGTCATACTTTCTCCCTTTAACATAGAAAATGCTTTTGTTGTCACATTTGAAAAATCATATGTTGCATTAACATCTACTCTCTGTGTTATCCGTTTATCATCAAACGTTTTGTTAATTATATTTTCGTTAATGTTCTCAGTGATATTAACAGATCTTTTGCGTCTTTCATATTCTCGATTCGGTATCGCAGGTTTATATTTAGGTTTGTTTTTTTCCGAATATTTCTGTCTAGTGACTTTTTTCCTTGAATAATCTTGTTCTTCTTCTGAATAACCTGTGAAATATTTTCATAAGTTACATCATTAAGATTTTTACGTTATAATAAGCGTCTATATGCATCCGAAAACTAAATTTCAGATGATTAATTTCAGAATATTCTATTCTCCCTAAATCAGATCTAAGTGGTGAGTTTTCTCTACGACAGGCAATACGAGGGTCAAACTGAAAGTTCTTAGAAAATCAAAAACTGATTACATTAGCCAGGTATTAGTTTTATTATATCTTTTCAAAATATTGTCCATTCACGTCAATACACCGCTGCATGCGATGGAACCACTGGGAAAAGCACTTTGCCCACTCGTCCTTAGGGGTCTCTTCAATGGCATCGCGATACGCAGCCACCGCTTCTTCAGCATTCATAAACCGCTTTCCTTTAAGTTTTTCTTTAATTTTTGGAAATAAATAAAAATCACAAGGCGCGAGGTCGGGGCTATACGGCGGGTGACCCAGTAATTCAACGTTTGATGTCGCCAAATAGTCGATCGTTCGCTTGGCGGTGTGCGACGAGGCGTTGTCGTGGTGAAGGAGGATCCTACTGCGAGGTCGTTTCTCTCGAACTTTTTCCAAGACAAGTGGCAAACAATTGGTAGTGTACCATTCTGCAGAAACTGTTTTTTGATCCTCTAACACAATTGTTGCAAAATGACCTATCCTTCCAAAGAACGAGGCCACCATTTTTTTTCCCGCACTTCGATCTCTCTTCACTTTAGTTGGCAACTCCTCGAAAGGAAACACCCACTGAGCAGATTGTCTTTTGGTTTTAGGATCATAACAGTAAATCCAGCTTTCGTCACCTGTTAGTATGTCGAACACAGCATTTGAGTCACCTCCGTTAAATCTTTCAATCATTTTACGACACCAATCCACACGATGGAGTTTTTGAGCCTCAGTCAAATTATGAGGTATCCACCGGGCGCAAAGCTTCCTGACCGCTAAATGTTCGTGGAGGATTTTGTGCACTTGACTCATACCGATGCCTAAGCTTGTCCGAATCTGTTGATAGGTCACTCTTTTGTCAGTCTCTATCATACGCCGCACAACACAGATGTTATCTTCAGTCGTCGCCGTAGAAGGCCGTCCCTCACGTAAATCATCAGTGAGATTAGTGCGACCACGTTTAAACTCATTAAACCAGTTGTAAACAGTCGCACGAGATGGGGCTTCATCGTGAAAGGCCAATCGTAGTCTATCATAACTTTCTTGTTGACTTAAATGACATCGAAAGTCATTTAAGTCAACAAGAAAGTTGACGTGACACAGACAATTTTCAATTTGCCGCCAAATCGTAAAACAAATGACAAATGAATGAAATATATACTCAGTAATATTGGCAAAGAGTTATATTTTCAAATTTTAGAATTATTTTTTTATTATATTGTTTATAAGTGGCCAGTTCTAAGAACTTTCAGTTTGACCCTCGTACTGGTTCCTCCGTGCATTCTTAAAAATATGTAACGGAGTCTTAAGAGCTCAAAAAATTTACGATATTTTCGTTTTAGAGAAACAGAGCAGGACTCAAAAATCCTTAAGAGTCTGCTGATTTGTACATTATTTAAAGGACCATGTTACTTAAGGAAGACAGTGTAAAAATGAAAATCTGTTTATTCATTAGCCAAGAAATAGAGGCTTTCAAATGTAAATACATCAGAAAATATATTAATAAAATGATAATTTTACTGGATTCCTTCTGTTCTGTTTGCTTTCCAGGCTCTTCTTTATCATAGTGAATGTCTTCTGGTAGTATTCCATCATCACCACCATTATATACATATCTAGAACAAATAAAAAGTAATAGGAATGATGACTAATTTTTGTTTGTTTGTCCGTCAGTGTTAAAAAATATTAAACACGTATTTTTCAATTTTTTTCGTAATCATAAAATTACGGCGTTACATGGAGTTGAAATTTCGCATGACGTCACGTTAGGGTACGTTTTCTACTCAACTGTGACATAGCGAGTCCCCACTCCTCAGCTTTAATGCCTTTTATCTAAGCTATTTCTTGTTAAATTGAAGTTAAAAAAATACGTATCTAATATTTTTCTATTATCTGACTGACGGACTAAATAGAATTGCATTTTTTTTTACCCAGTCATCATCCCTATTGTAAACCTGTCTCGTAACGGGTAAAGAAAGTTAATATAATAATAATATTAAAGTTCTTAGTTACTTAGGTAGACGCACTGGTAATATTGGCTTAACTTAAGTAGTAATATATTTTGCTTTACTATGATAATTAGCAACCTACCCTTTGTTCCCAAAAGATCAAGGGTGATACTTGGTAATAAGTCGGTATTAATTTTTTACATTTTTCTCTGTGCTTAGTTAAAAGTACATTAAGCGATTATCAAACCTTAAATCGTTAATTCACCTAACGTATGTACCTAATACCTATACTACTTGTAATGGTAGCCCTAAAACTTGTCCTTTCTCAGTAATTGTTACAAACATACTTACATCTAATTACGGAAGATAAATTAAAAAAATATATATATAAATTAATGGCATATCTGCTTTTAGTACATATATTAGCTAAAATTGTATGGTTATCAGTAATTTGCAAAGTTATATCAAGTATAGGAGGCAGTAAGCCTCATTTTCATAACAATTCTCCAACCTTGTACTCCAATCCATTTGTCTAGCGTCTTCCAACCACTGGTTGGCAGCTAGTGTAGTCTCTTTGACCATCTTGATCTTCCACTGTAGGAATATTTTCTTCAATTCGACGGTGATGTGTGATGATTTACTTGGGAAATCATCTGGATTATCTAATTTTTCATGAAGACCACCTATGATATGAATTATATAATAAATCATATTTAAATTTGTTTAGATTGGCTTTAAAACTTTCTAGTATGGAAATTGTACACATTTTTTAAAATATAGATTGAATATTTTCTCAGCTAGCATTTAGTCTGCTTTTCATTATTTACATCTCATACTGTTCGGTATATAATCACATCGAGTGATTAACATGCAGTTTTCTCCTCTAAGGAGCGCGATGACGCAGAGCTCCGGTCTGCGATGTGGCAGTCAAGCAATTTTCGGAAGGGCCAGTCGTAGGGTAAATGACTAAAAAATGTATTATCTCGCGCTTAAGCATGTTAAGCTGTTGTCCCCGCTGTATATGCAATCGAGAACACCCACCATTTTGCACTCGGCATGATTGGTTAACCCATTATCCTATACAAAAAAAAAAATCCTCTGAATTATAGAGTAGTTAACTAACCATTTAATTATACGATATTATCTAACCAGGCATGAGTTCAGTATTCATTTTATTAGGTAAAATTAAGTTTGATGTTACCTCTAACTGGTTTCTCCAACGTATTCTCAAGTCTGAGTAATACGGAACCAGCTTTCCATGGTTCTAATGTTAGGATGTGGATATGTCTAGGCAGACCGTGGAGGCGAATCGATGAATACTGTCAAGAAATACACATTTGTTAATATTTATTCTATTTGATAAATATGCCCTGAATTTTTTATTAGGAAAAAATAGGCCTCAATGTGCGTGGTTCACGTGATGTTCATTTTTTAAATATTTTTATTGTGAGTAAATCCGGCCAAGTGCTGCCCGTCTCACGCATGGAGGGTTCCGTGCCATTATCCATAAAAAACGCAAAAATCATGTTTGCTTTATGGTAGCCCCTTAAATATTTAATAACATTAATTCTTACTCCGCGAAAGGGTCATGGCTCTCTTACAAATGAAAAACAGGAAATAATTACTATTTTTCTAAAAAAAGCATGTAATAAACAATTGTATGAAACATTTACCATTGAAATTAGTGACGCAGTGCACGGATTATTTATCTCCTACAAAAATACTGAAAAAAATTCATTGTACATCAAACACGTCAATATGTTTTGTGAAATAAATTCAATAGCTCGTACCCTCTTGTTCCTGACATTTTGCCACTTTCTCCTGTTAATCTTCTCCCCTGACGCGAAGAACATCCACGGCTCCATCTGCCACCTCCTGGCTGCATGTGATATCCTTTCGGAAAATGTCAGCTCGTCAACTGTGGATATTTAGAACGAAATCATGTTTAAAATACTACTCTTTTGAATTCAACAATAGTCTTAATCTATTACTCGTAGTCCTAGTTTAGTAATGAAAATGTAGGTAAATTTCTCATCATTGGCAAAAATCTGCTGATTCGCAGCCCTCGAATTCGTGACCCCATAAAACTTTCAAATATGGACTGACGCAGAATTCGCAGAACCTACATAAATAATTAGAAAAATCAGTCGAATTGCAATTACTTAATAATGAAGGTACCAACTTTCCTGTCTAAAGTTTCCCACGTATATCCTGTGCCTTCCCTTTATCACTAGTCCTACGCCATGATCTTCTTCATTCAGAGATTCTTCTAGACCAAATCCATCATCAGTGAGTAATCTTCTGTGAACCTGGTAAGTTAAAAACAATTTAAGTGTTAGTTCTTTGATTTTGTTTCATCTCGCAAAAATAATTTATTCTTTGGAATTAAATTTAGTATTTGCATGAAACAAATAGGCTTTTGAGTATAACTGAGGGACGGAAAATGTAAGAGATGAAGATGAAAAGCCTTTACAATTTACGCCTATTAGAAGTAATTTAAGAAGGAATTTCAATATTCCATATTCGGTTACTTTCCTTTCCTAAAGTATCTCAAATTAAAAGCTATTAACAGCACTTTTCAAGAAGACACTGTCAAACTACCCTCATATTTTGTTCTGTTTTAAATTAGCAGTTTTTGAAAGTATTAATAACATTTTCTACATAAGTATACTTACCATCAGTTCTATCTCGCCTTCGTTATACGAAGTGCCACCTTGCGTCCTATCTGGTAAGACACACATTTCAACGCTGCTGTTTAGGGAATGTATGCAGATCCTCGATGTGACAGGGTAATAGCAAGATGGAACTGGTTTTTTCTGCTGCTGACCTGATGAAAAATATTACTTCAAAAACATATACTTCAAGATCAAAAATAAAAATATTAAAATAACAAAAAATGTAAATTTTAAAAGTTCCATAAAGGATTTACGAGTAAGTATATGTCATTATTACAACTCCTTTATTTCGAATCGTCAAGAAGCGGAATGTTTTACTTGGGCACAAAGTAAAATATATATGTTATTTATTAGAATTAATTTAATTTAAATATTTAGTATACATATTAATAGGCTTTATTTTATTTTAGGCCTCTGTGTAAATATGTAATTTTTGGAAGGGTTCTAGCCCAAAAAAGGTAGATAGCCGCTGATAGGTATGCATCGGGTCGGCGAGAAAGACAGTCACTAGGAAAGAAAGGCACGGGTAGTTAGTTGTTCTAGAGCTTTTTGGTTAATGCCTCGAATACGCCATTAGGGCCGACCAAGCTAGAATGTTCTAGGTCCTAATCTAGAACATTCTAGATGTGGTATCGGACCCTACAAACACGCCGTCCCGGCATTCTTCGATAACTAGTGCGGTGAGCGATCTACTAATGTTGTGAAGTTGAAGAGTGAATTTTGTAGTTGGATTATTTGTGTAATTTTGTTGTGTTAAAATAAAGTCCGAATTGTGAACTATAATTGGCGTAAATTATTATACCGAATCCTACGGCGTAACAATATGATTTAAGTATCATCATCATCCTCCTGCCCTTTATCCCACGTTACGTGGGGTCGGCACAACATGTTTTCTTCTTCCATTCTTCTATGTCAAACGTCAGCTCCACATCCACACCTTTCTTATTCATATCCTCTTTCACACAGTCGATCCATCTTTTCTTCGGTCTGCCTCTACTCACATATCCAACCACATGCATCCTTACAGTATATAAGTACTTATTGTTTACATTATTCGACATGTGGCAGATGCACGCAAACGTACCCAAGCTTTCATTCCAACAGGTCCTCTTGATCATTTGACGTCCATTAGAATCTGTATAGAACTGTCCGTTGTTGGAAATATTGGTTGTAAAAACAGTTACAACCTCTTTACCCAAATCCGTGCTGAAACAAAATAAAAGTATCTCACTGAAGGGGGGTCACTAGAATTATTGTATGTAGAATAGAAACAAAAAATAAAATATTTCAATAAGTTATTTGCCAAGGAATGAACACTTAAAATCTCGATTGTAAAATTTGCAGAAATATAACCATCCAAGACGTTATTAATCAACAAGTACAAATAGTGTGCGCTTCGAGCATACATTTCTATAGAAACAAATAAAATCTTTACTCTAGTCAATATTTTTATTTTTAACTCCTATTTGAGGTCTAAATAGGGTTCAAATTCACTTATAGCTACTTTTGTAACTTACCCTATTGGTACTGGACCAATAATCCACTCCACATCTAGGAATTCTTCGCCTCTATATAACCTTATAATCTGAGTTATCCAGTCATTAAATCTCTGTCTAATTTCCTTAATTAGTGATCCTTTTATAGTTTGGTAAGTCACGCGTTCAGTCACCTAAAGCAAGAAAGAAAAAATAAAAAAGTATAATTAAAATATAGACGTTTGTTAAATAAAAACCTGATTTTTAAACATTTTATACTAAATAACGCTAGCAGAAAATATTAATTTATGATCAAAATCTAGAACTTCACATACTTGTTCCAGGAGAAAATTATAATGATAGTATAGTTGCATAACACTGCACAACAGCATACCTGATGATTGGCTTATGATACATCATATATGTCTAATTTTTTATGACAATTCCAAATCTGTAACTGAAATTTTTGTATAAGCTCTTGTTTAAAAAATATAACACAAGGGTGTTTTTATAATAAAATACTACATTTTTGAAGATAGTCCCATTTTATTTAGTTCTTAAGTTGGAAAAAATTCCTTTTATTTGATTTTCTTTTTGAAGGTGATGGCAGAGAGCTGTTCTGAATGCTCCAACAATAGTCAGCCATCATGTGTGCGTTCCAGTAGCCTTGATAGCGTTCTTCCATCGTACGAATGTCCTGGTGGAATCGCTCACCCTGCTCTTCACTTAGATCCCCAAGATTGGCGGGAAAATATTCCAGGTGGTTGTGGAGAAAGTGTAACTTGATGCTCATGTTACATCCAAGCCTTTGAAAGTGACTCATTAGTTGGTCAATGTGTTGAGAATAGTCAGAATTTTTCTTATTTCCCAAAAAATTTTGAACAAGCCAGACAAACTCATTCCATGCATTTTTCTCATTATCTGTCATGTTGGCCGTAAAATTCGCATCTTTTATTAGTGATCGTATCTGTGGAAAGGAAACAATTTCCATTTTTGTCAAGGCTTTTTACAAATTGTTTTATTAGTCCTAGTTTTATATGTAAGGGAGGCAAAATTATACGATCCCTTGATACTAAAGGTGGGTTTATCACATTCTGTTGACCGGGTACTAGCGCGTCTCGAGTAGGCCAATCTTTTTTAATCCAATGTTGAGTTTTAGCTCTACTATCCCACAAGCAAAGAAATCAGGGATACTTTGTGTATCCACTTTGTTGCCCTAAAAGGAAGTTTACCATTTTTAAATCAACACATATGAGCCAGTTGTGTTCCACATATTTAATTTTGTCCAAAATCAGAGCAATTGTTGTATATTCCTCTTTTCTTTTTGTAGAATGCGCAATAGGCAGCGACCCAAATTTATTCCCATTGTGTAAAAGAACGCATTTTAGACTCTGTTTTGATGAGTCTATGAATATCGCCACTCACTAGAAACGTAATTTTGTAATGCCATTGCAGCCATTAATCCAGGTACATCTTTACAAAATACGAAGTCATCTTCTTCAGCAAAATATTTGAGGAGATTTTGTTCTCTTGTGCGGTAATAATAAATTTTAGTTTCTTTTGTTACTAAGTTTCTTTCTTTTAGCCTAGACGGCAAAAGCTCTGAAGCAGACTTTGGCAGTCCCAAATCTCTGATAAGGTCGCTTAATTCATCTTGGTTGAATGGTTTTGGTGTATCCAGGTCACATTCAAACTCACTCTCACTACTGTGTGTATTTGCCTCTAAATGCACAAGCTCATCCTGTGGTGCACCAGCTTGAGGTTCAGGGGATATGTTAGGGCTCAAAACACGTCTATATGCCGACCGTATGCAAGGATATTCCCACTTAGCTCGATTTTTTCGGTTAATGGCAGTAGTGTTCACCAAACAAAAATAACAATCGTCGTGGTGGTTCATGGGTTCTTTCATAGCGGTTTGGTACCTAAATTTATTCCTTTTCTTATTTGTCCACAAACGTAGAAACTCAACGCACGTTTTGCATACCTTTTGCGGAATCCAAGGCTTATTTTTCATTTCCAGTGGATGACCAAAGTAATTTTTGTAAGCCTCATTTACGAAGGCTGTCACATTTAAACGGCATTCTTTAAACATATACTCTCCGCAAATGAAGCAAAAATGGTTCGGATCATTTACACAAACTCGACTTGACGATGCCATATCAAATTATATTAAGAAAACTTCTTTTATTTAAATTATCAGCAAAATAACATAAGAGAACAGTCAGTTTGGGGTGAAAGCTGTAACTCGTAAACAAGAGCTGTAGCAAAAAAAATGAGGGTATATTTAGAATCAGCGGGGTCAAATTAGTAAACATCATATGATAAAAGTCATTCATCAGAAAAAATATTCAATTTTGTGAATCTGTGTAATCATCACCAGCCTATTATGTCACCACTCTGCTGGGGCTCACGCCTTCCCTATGGATGAAATGGAATCAAATCGAAAAGGGAGAATAGGTCATGACCCACCACGCGGACTCAGTGAGCTTTTTGTGGAGTTAATGACCTCAGCTCGAGTCGGGATCAAACGATTTAAGAGCCTTCCGAAGTACGAAGGAGACTGAGAAAGTAAATTTTTGGTTACCCATTACAACCTACAACCTACTTAACAACCGCTGCGTCATGGAACATGTGAATATTTTTATCTCAATATTTATCAGATCTCACCGGGGTTGGCCTCTGTTTGTCGGGTCGGAAGCTATAAGCACCAGATTGGACTCCTTGCCCCTGCCCGTAGTAGTAAAAGTTCTGGGAAACTTGCACTGTTAATCCGTCTACATGCTGGATGGATTCTAGCAGACCAGTCTCTTTGTTGACGGTAACTCGGAGATACTAGAGCGAATAAAATTTATTAAACTATCAGTCAGTTACACAAACACCCATTAAAATTGTCATTAGTTTATAGAGACACTACCCATGCAAGGTCAGGTCTATTACCTTGAAAAACGTCAATAAACCTTAATGGACGTTTGTGAAATTGATTGTATATTAACTAGATCTTAATGATCTCTTCTTAAGTTTGACGTGAAATAAAATGTCGAAGTTTCTTTTTGTGCGGACGTGTGAGAAGTATGTCGGTTGATAGAATAATGACATTAATATACCACGTCAAAATAGAACGATTTGGAGATGTTGGAGGAGTCAGAACACACTTTCCACTGTCAAATTTACCGTATGTTACCAGATAGTGATGTCAGAAATCATAAAACAGGTGATATCAAAGATGCGAAACACCTATACAAAAACATATATGTTGTAAGAAATTATATTAATATATTATACTGATACCAGTATAATTTCTCCTAGTGGAGTAGTTGCAGAAACCAGTCTTCGATGATAAAAACATAACGATAGACTTGGCTAAATATCAGCGACATAAGCCAGTTGTGACACATCATTCCTCAAAATTTAATTAAATAAATATAAATAAATAAATAAAATAGTTTATTTCCTTAAATTGCATACATATAACAGTAATGTGGCCAGAATCGCCCAGGAAGTGCCTAAAAACCACTTGTCGGGTGGTTCTGCTCCTCCTTAGGAACATAATAACAAAATAAGGTTTGCTTAGGTTGCTACACTATTAAACTATTTTATAAAGGTATATTAAAAAATACTAAAAGTGAGAAGTTATATAAAACAATGCAGTGTCTAAAAAATCTCTCAATCTAGATCGGATAACCACTAGATCTGCAAGTGTATGTATTTGTGTGTGTGTGTGTGTGTGTGTGTGTGTGTGTGTGTGTGTGTGTGTGTGTGTGTGTGTGTGTGTGTATGTGTGTGCGCGCTTGCGTATGCGTGTGTGTGTATGTGTGTGTATATGTGCTATTACAAACGTCCAGAGCTTTTCTAATTTTTGTATGTTTTTGCTGTAAATGCGTATTGCGATACATATGTTTTATACTATCAAATAAGGAGATATATTTAATTGTTGTATGGAATAGTTAATTATCACGATTGTTTATTTTATTATGCACCATAGAATATTTACCACGATTTACGTACGTACCTCATTGGAAATGTACGGAATAACCTCTTGATCTGGTTCCATAGTAGATTGAGATGATTTCTTCTTGTATGAATTTTCTTCCTGTCAAAAATTTTATAAGTTGAAGACAAGTGACGAGTTATATGGCAGAGTGACACGCACACCGGTTTCAGATTGTCAACAACTTGTTCAATTCCCGGTCGAGTTGATTTACATATTGTTTCAGATTTCTATAAATCGAGGACTTTAATTAGCTAGTAACTAAAGTTAACAAAAACTGAGTATTTGAGCAAAGATGTCTAATATTTATTATTATTTATATAGTGTGCTTAGTAAAGTTATATCTCGAAATATGGATTAAACACAGAGAATTCTAGTAATATCGGAATACAATTAGAGGTTTATTAAACGCTAGATTTTTTTAAATCCTTATTGTTATTTTACTTCAAAAATGCAAGATAAATTTATTTGAGTCTTGTGCTTAGTTTTAGAGTAAATTTACCTTATTTGACATTATAAAAATATTACGAGTACATTATGTACCAAAATAATAAAATATTTATTTGCTTAAAACTAATAGTACAAAATAAGACAAAATGTCTAAATGATAATTATTAGAATTAATGTCGTTATTAATTGGAATTTTAATTGATTATGTCAAAGATCATTAATACTATCTGCTATTTACCAGCTGGTCCCTAACTGGAGTGATGTAAAATGCAGAGTAACCCAACGGTGGAATGTTCTCGGCTTCGAAGTACAGTTCCTGTATTGCTGATGATGATCTTCCCGGGATATTGATAATAGCCGTTGGCAGTGGCACTAACTGGTATTCCACCTCCTCGTCTGATAATGAAATTTAAGACAATCGTACCATTTGCTTAAATATTATAACCTTCTACAAGAACCCATCGGATTAACAGTTGAACAAGTGCTTATAGACCATGCTTCGTGGTGGTCGGCAATAAGGACGTTAAATATCAACTTGCACCAAACTTTTACTCTACAATTACTCTACTATTTTTTGCTAGTCCACGAGCATCCTATTGAAATATTAGTCGTTGCAGTTGGCTATCTCTGGTGCAGATATTACCATTTCTTAAAGTTATAGTCCATATTTGTAAACACAATCTGATTTTTGAAATGTAATAAATATATAATTTTTTTTTTACTTAATTGCTATTGGAATGGGCGGTTATGAATCTGGGTGTGGAAGCTTGATGGTTATTGTAAAGGACTGCCCCAACATAACACTTAACTATTATATTTTAATTGGTTTAGCATTCACAATGCCATACTGAAAATTATTCTTAATACAAAATGCTTAAAAAATCCACTTGGTCCCTGGTACCCTGAGATGGGAATCGAACCCACAACCTTTCCCAATCCGGGCGACTGCTCTAACCACTGAGCTACCCAGGACCTAACAGGACTGACGAATCTTTCAAACACTTGTTACTTTTCGCTACTACAGAGCGTATTCTAATCAATGTTCAGGCATCCACCCAAACAAACAAAGTAACAAGTGCTTGAAAAATTCGTCAGTCCTGTTAGGTCCTGGGTAGCTCAGTGGTTAGAGCAGTAGCCCGGATTGGGAAAGGTTGTGGGTTCGATTCCCATCTCAGGGTGCCAGGGACCAAGTGGATTTTTTAAGCATTTTGTATTAAGAATAACACTAACTTAAGTTGTTAAGTATAATAGATTAAATTCTATAGCGCACATTCACTCACAAAATTTTAGAAATTGTCAGTTAAAGATTAATGAAAACTTTGCAGAAGATGTCGTATAAGGACACAGAGAAGCTTTTAATTGTGTTAAACTAAGTTTTATATGCCTGTTATTATTATTTTGTTTTATTATTAATATTTAATATGGAATGTTTGCTGATTAAGTAGCGATTATATAATTCTCTACTTGAAAGCTTTAATTGTGACACATAGGAAGACCTAGTTCAAAAAAAAACTAAAATGTTTACACACAGACACCAACATTTATGTATGCAAAAAAAACAAAAAAGAAAAATGTAAAAATTTTAATGTAAGCTATATTATACGCTAACATTACCTTTAAATATAATACTAACCAAATGTAATTTTTGAATAAATTATTATTATTACTTACCATTGAAATCTCTGACGGTATAATGTAGGGCGACTGCGGGCAGTCTCACGTAATGATAAGTCTTCATACTGGATGGATTGTAGAGTAGTAGAATTACTGTCTCTTGAGTTTCTATAAACTGTTAACAATGAAAATGCTGTAGGTGATTCAAACCAATATTTTGATCACATAAGCCAAAATGTTAACACTCTAGATTCTAAGCTTATCGCCGCCGTACTGACTACAACAGCAGTCGTAAGCTCAACAACGGACAGATACTAGAATGTGGAACTTAATTCCAATAGACTTGAACTAAGAAAATGAATTAAAACACGGTTAAACCGCGAAAGACGATAGCACGACAGGTAAGAAATGTAACCAAAACAAAAAAGGCAATTGCTGCGGCCGGTGACCACCATGTATATACATACATAGTATTTGAGCTGGCGAGTGACACCTAGAGTTATTAACACTTAACTTGGATGATGTTGCAGTACCGTCTTTGGGAACAGTATCCTTGCCAGTTAAGTCCACTTTTAGTTGAGTCTTGCATTTCAGTCTGTAGCAATTAAGCTTTAAATCTTAACCTCAAAAGTATTCTAATAAATGTTTTAATTTTACTGTGTTCGAGATATTTTAAATATTTGATATTAATAGAAATGACTAAAAATGGAACCTTTAAGATATTCAAGGAATAAACATAAATCATCTTGTTATAAATTTATTCTGTTTTTGTCTTTATTTTATGGACTATTTTAATGCTTACCCTGCACTGACTGACGTTAAGTTGGTGACAAACGACAAACTGTTGAGAGTTTTTTGATCTCCTGGTGTTTCCCCAAGTTGGAGTCAAGTAGCTAAGAACAAATATATTTGTTATTATATGTTATTTATACTAGAAATGATGATCATAATGAAAAGACAAAGGAATTATCTATATAAATATAACTCAAAGGTGACTGACTGACATAGTGATCTATCAACGCACAGCCTAAACCATTGGACGGATCGGGCTCAAATTCGGCACGCAGGTAGATGTTAGGACGTAGGCATCCGCTAAGAAAGGATTTTGATCAATTCTACCCCCAAGGGGATAAAATAGGGGATGAATGTTTGTATGAAACTTTGTCAATTTTTAACCGATCGGGTTGAAACTTTGCATGCATAAAGCTAATATGACATAGGCATTCCCTAAGAAAGAATTTTGATAAATGAAACTTTATTTCAGATATTTCACACGATATAATGAATAAATATTCGTTAGAAATGCTGCTTAAAGTAACTTTACCACGCAGACGAAGTCGCGTGCTAAAGCTAGTTTCAAAATAAGACGTTCTAGATTAGACGACCCCATGATTTTTCTAAGTTAGTTTTAGCCTAATTTCTAATGTAAATTTTTTTTCTATCGTGAAGAAGGAGAAATGCAACTTTGCCTCGTAAGTATAATTTCATTAAAATAATAGTATGTTTTATGTAAATAGGAATTCTGTAAATAGGAATATTTTTTTTTATGTCAATGAACACTATATTACCTTAAAAGATTCGATACTTTCTTGGTACTGGCATCCATTGCTTCGCTGAGTATTCTTACAAAGTCATTGGCTACATGTTGCTGACTTGTGCCTAAAATATAATGCATAAGATTTGACAGCTCATTTCAAAATTACGGAATTCTAGTTTCTTTTCTATCGGATCAAATACGATTGTAGTTAACTCTATGTACTTTAATGATGATATTAATTGTGATTCATCAGACAAAAAGAGCTCGACTGACAAAGGTAAGTTACCGAAGGAGCTTGGCAGGTCCATAGCAATTGTGGAAAATAAGTTAGTTTTACAAATGCTGGTCATTAGATTAGATACTAAAAATTTACTATCTCCAGTCTTTATCCTCCGTGTCTCGGAAGATGAAGATGTTAAATGGTCACCATTCACAGGCAGCAGTAGTAGTTAACAACAATCTGTTCTGGGTTCATGCCCATAATAGTCCGTTTTCCCTATGTCATTCTTCCTATCTGTACCTGCTGCAGCAGTACGAACGATAAACGCTTAAACAAAATAACAAGACAAAAGTATGATGGTGTTGAGAACGAGCAATTCGATAGTGTAGTGGTTAGCGCGTTTGTTTTGCGATGTGGAGATAGCCCGTAAGCTTAACGTACTGGCTGTAAGTGGTTAATGCCCACCAATCCACACTGGGTCTGCTTAGTTAGCCACGACTCGTTTTATCTATTTGATTCATCAGTAGTAGGAATATTAATTAACAGGCTTATAATGATGTAAGTCACCTGTGATTGCGTCATGATGGAGTACCAGGCTAACAGCATGTCTAAGGAGATGTAATTCAAACGAGTCGCCCATGCGAGCCGCAACTGTCAACTGTTTAACTACCTATTGAAAGAAGAATTCGTGTAATTTATTTAGGTAGCTATGTCACATATTGATGTCCTGAACGAGTGGTAGGGAAAAAATTTTGGACTATTCAAAAGTACTTTTAAGAAGTCTATATCTAGCTTTAAGATTGATTTTAACATTAATTTGTATTCAAATTTTTTAAGAATTGAGAAAGTATATTTTACCTTTAGAGACATTAAATACTCACATTCTGTTGAATAGCATATAAGTGTACAATCTACACCGATATCCGCGAAATTATACAGAAGAATAACAAATGCGCAATGTTTAGGTGATTGAGAAAAACTACTACGTATAACTGCTCTGATAATTGTTTATTTCTGTGTTCTACATAATCGACATTATGATGCACAAATAAGAGTAATTTGTATCAGAACATACATTGAAGTATTTAGTGACTAACATGTAAGAATATCTAAAGACACAGGTCTGCAATAATCGCCTGCGAAGGACACACTCGTGAAAACATTAGCTGGTTCACAGATTAGGTATGTTTATTTTTGGGTTTTCATGAGCAAAATAGTTAAAAATGAATTCAGTCAGTTATCTGAAGAAGGATTCACAATAATTTAATAATGGTGTCAGCTTCGTTGTTGATGCTACCGACGAAAGTGGTACTACCCGCTATAAATATAGTTTTATAGCTCAGTCTACCCTCATTCTTCTGCACGCGTAGCATAACGAATCTGAGAACGTTTTGTCTACACCCAAATGTCACTTTTCTCGGGTGCGCCCAAATTTTTTGACCCGAGTAACTGATAAATGAAATGAGTGTAGACAAAGCGTTTCTCGAGTTGGTCATGCTACGCCCTGCTGGTTTCATCGTGGTGTAACAGACGTTTGGGTAACCATTAATAATAACTTTCAAGCATTCAGATAATGTAAATAAATAGTTGTTAGTAGATTCACATTATAAAGTTACTCTGATATCACATAGTTAACTATGTGGCAGATATAATTTTATCCTTTCATTGCGGTTACCTGCAAGAATTGATGTGAGATTCTCGCTAAATATTTAATGCTGGGTCTAGATGTGTAGTAGCCAGTCCAGTAGGTAGTTGCATCACTGCCGTATGGAATCAGATCGCCCTGGTAAATTTAATTATAAATATTGAATAAGAGACTTAATATTACCAGCGCCGGTACTGTCGAAACACAGTAGCGACATTAGCTGAGACAGGGTCCTAATTGGCCTTCACACAATATGACCACACATTTATTTATATGAATTCTGTTAGTTATTGTCTGTCTTTTGTTTTTGTTACTGTAATGTTATGGTGTGAATGTCAATAAAAACTTTCCTATTCTTATATTGTGAAAAACCTGCAAAATAATAGAATGAAAAATTCCTTAAAGAAAAATGCTTAAAAATTCACCAGTTCTATCTCGAAGTACCCGGGCCTAGAGAATTTTTAAGCAATCCTCTTTTCATGTCTGTAATAAGCCTAAACTAACCTTTTCCGTATACATAGCTTTGTCCCGTCTGCCGTAAAGATAGATAGCCTTCAAATAACAAGATGGCGTTGAATAAAACACGTTTATGTCGGACATGTTGGCAGGATGCGTGTTCACATGACTGAAATGCATGAAGTATTTTATAATATATTTTATATTTAAAATCATCCTTATATAAATTGCACCGATCGTAAGTTGAAGTTTTTGTACTAAAAAATAATCAGAAATATAACTCTCTAACCATAACTATCGTAGGATACGGTATCTTAGCGAAGTTATAGCAGTATTTCGTTTTACTTTACTTACTACTCGGACAAATGTTTTTGGTGGATAAGCGACTAAGTACGTAACACTGTTGTCAAATCCATATCCATCGTTCTTTTTCATTCGTTCCTCGTTATTAAAGTACACGTCAAATAGGACATATTCCCTGGCTAGAGTTATAGCTAGAGAGTTAGGCGGTCGTACCTCTGAAGCCTGCAGAGCGTTTCCGTAAAAATCCGAACCCGAATTCAAATTCACGGCATTTAGCGTAGAAATTGTATTGATTCTATTTTTTGTATAAAATACAATACAAGAATAATTGATTTATACGTGTCTTAAATATTCTATCCTTATAGTATTTTGAATCTCACTCCATTTATGTCACGTAACGTTATTACCAATTTAAGGTTGAGTGGATGTCACCTTCGAAATGAATTCGGGTACTTGAGTGAATTCGAATTCGAGTTCGGATTTTTACAGAATCCCATCGGGAGTAATAGACGGTAAGAAGGATCGCAAAATTTGTTTTAGTTACGTATAAAAATAAATTCTCACTTGATCAGTTTGTCCATGTTCATGAACCAGTTGGCAGCGCTCTGGTATGTGAAGTCACCGCCCATAGTCACCATGATGTTGTCATGGTCATAGTACTTCGCCTGCCTTTCGATTTGAGCGATGAAATCGTTTACCTGAAAATATTTTTTATTGACGTGCGTGACTTCGCCTTATATTACGTGATTAAATTATATTCAAATACCACAGATCAAACATAATAAGAATACAATAATATTTTTTTTTTATATTTTCATGATTTACGAAAAAATCAAATAATTTTATCAGGGTGGCGGAACGATGCAGGGTCAGTAATGATCTGGGGTGCAATATCATATAATGAACTGATTAGTTTAATGGTAATAGAAGATTGACAAAGCTCTAAAAGTTACATCAAACTTCTGCAGAATGAGAAATGTAAGCTTAGCAGTGCAATAGGGAATGAAGGTTTTATTTTTCAACATGATAGTGGTAGTATTCATAGTGTACGTAACGTTCGCGAGTGGTTTCTACAAAATAATATAAATATTCTCGATTGGCCATCACTCTCCCCCGACCTGAACATAATTGAAAATGCATGAGGATGGCTGTCACGTGAAGTTTGTAAGAACAGTAAACAATATAACACCAAGCACGAGCTCAAGGAAGGTATAATTAAGTGTTGGAGCAAATTACCAATTACATTTATAATAAAACTATATGACTCAATGCCATCCCGTATTTTTTATTTAATTCAAAAGAATGGAAAAGGCATTGATTATTAATCAATAAAAAATGTTAATAATACAATTTAATAATAATAAATATTATATTTTATTTAATGGTCGTATTCAAGTGGCGCGGCACATTGACTATAGGAATTGTTGCGAGCGCCTCGTTGAGTGTTTTTGGTGTTCAATTGTTCATAGTTAAACGTGGCATGTCTTAAGATTTAAATACCTTTTATTTCTAGATAATTATTTTGATTCATATTTTAAAGAGCAAAGGAAAATGCACTGGTCCTATTCATGTGGCACGGTGTGTATAATACTCTCCCCTGCGAACCAATCCTGAGAGCTGGACAACGAGAAGGGGCATACCCACTAAAACCTAGCGATGTCCTTTTCTATGGAGAACGGCGCGCGGCCATCCCTTTTGCAGAGCGGGTCCCACCACAGGTTAGGAACATAGGCTCAGGAACATTCGAGTCTAACCCCCTAGACAGGACAAGGGGCGTGCAATGCCCGGCGAGCGCGCTTACCCGCCAGACTACCCCTTATCAAGAATAAGAGATGCGCAACTGGGCATCTCCTATCCTAACCCGTCTAATAGAAGAATTCCCTAGGACTGAAACTTCGTGAACCCCCTCCATTATGAAGGTGCCTACCACAACACTCAGATCTAACACAATATACTTAGAATCAATCGGGGCATTGAAAATCTAAAAAAAAAATATTTACTCACTCGTTTTTCCGCATTATAAACTTTATTCTCAGGATCATCGACGATAGGTTCGTCGCTGCACAGAAAATCGAAGCAGAAACCCTCAGGAGCGTTGTACAGGTTGAACAATGTGTGCGTCATCATATCTGACATTTTGCCTACACCATTAGATAAAAATAGTTATTTTTCAGTTGAAAATCTTTCTATTGTTTAAGTCATTTCATTTGGTAACTCGTCTTTTGTTTTATTGTCCTCCATATTTGATTAACTTAAAAGAGATTTGAGTACTTGTACATTTATAATTATATTGTCATCAAAACTAATGAAACGGGATAAAAATTCAATAACTCAATTGATATTATATTGTAAATTACACAATTATCAAAAAAATACGAATGAAAAATACCATATACAAACCTAATACGTCACTGCCTCTCCACATGAATTCCATTCTGTCCTCCTCTATCATTGCTTCTCTTTCTTTGTGATCTACGCGGCCTAAAATTTAAGTATTGTTGACATTTACTATTATATCATTGTCTGCAACTGTCAGCAAATGTCAACTATCCAGATATTTCTGTAAATGACTTAACAGGTCAGAGTATGGACTTTCCCGAACATACTAGTAGATGAGAAAATATCACTAGTAGTAAAAGTAACAAGTGGTGGCTCAAATAATTAAAGTAATCTCCTGGACTTTGAAAGGTGTGTTCGAAAAAAGGATAAGAACGAATCCCATCTCGAGGACCTTGGACTGGTGGGAATAAAATTTACTCGAAGCTCTGTCTTACCTATGAAAAGGCCGTCAAATCCCATTTGGGCTAACAGCGACGCCTGCTCTCTTGTGTGGCCGTAAGTATCAATATGCCATGCAGCTTTCGGCTTACCGCAAGGACCAAGAGTGTCATTCAATTTTCTGGAAACAAGAAGACGCTACGTCTAATTTTAACAAGAACTCATCATTTATTCAGCTGAAAGAATTCCTTGGAACATTGTTGGCCATTATCGCTTGATAGAGTTGTCACGCTAACAGCTGCTAGGCTACTCAAGGCGCGGCAATTTTTCAATCGATACTGGTCTTTGAATTATGATGTTAAAGTTCAAAATCCTGGAGTAATGAAAATACTCGCAGAAACTCTACCGGCCGCGATTCTTGTCGTTTAAGACACAATTAATCCCTGCACGATCATTTCCTCACACTATCGCAATCGTAATCAGATGCTTTTTGATGATTCAACATATTTCCCGTTGGTCATCGGTAACATTGACTGTGATATTCTTACTGTACGAACTCACCGAAGCCCCCAAGTGAATTGATCGATGATCTGTAAGTAGTTGACGGTAGCCTCGTCGTTGTGTACCCATCCACCACCGGCGAACTCCACCCGTCCCTCCTGAACTAATGATCTGAATGTGGCTCGAGTTACAGGCCTCTGTTCCTTCCACCATCGCCAGAAATACGCAGTCTCAGAAAAGGTAAATCTTGGTGCCAAAACAAAATAACAATTATTTACCTGCCTATTTATAAATTAAGAGTTTGTTTAAACTTAATCGGGTTAAGGCTAAAGCTTATTTCTAAGATTTCAGATTCAATTCCCAGCCGAATGAATGTAGTTCTTCTTTATATTGTCTCAATTCTAGATGGTTGTGTTCCGATTAATAAAATGATGATAAGTATACGAGAAAAAGTTTTCGATGATAGAAGATGCACCCCATCACTATACCTATAGGATTTATGTATTGTTTTTAATGTACGCAATTGTGTTTTTTATCGTTCTTGACTTTTGTTTCTGTCACCGTGTTCCTATCATTTGTATGGAAGTTTTATTATCACGAGTTCAAGTTCGCGCGTTAACGTAAGGGTTCTCAAGTATAAAAATATACGGAGACAGTAAAGTCCAGTACGCGTGTAGTCTTACTCACTTTCTTCTATTATCGTGCAATAACTCTGATAATACTGAATGGTATATTAATTGAACGTTGGCTGAACTAATTGTTCCTTTAGCTGAAACAAAAAAAAGGATTTGTAACCATATTGCGCTGTTCCGTCTCATAAAACTATTGCTATTATAATAAAATCAGGCGTTTTTTTTCAACACTCCTGTTTTACACAGTTATCTATCTTAAATTAACTAAGTATTTTTATAATTTCGCTCTTTATACATCAATACAATATTACTATATTCACATATTTTTATAGAAACATTCTGGACAGTTCGTCTTTTTTTCGTCTTTGCAGGACTAACACTTTAGATTTTGAAATTGTTTTTATTTGCACATCATTTGTTGTCATTATTTTTTTATAGGGACCGGGTACCAAAGGTTTAAAATCTGGTCTAAAATAAGAAATAGTACAACTTACTTCCATAATAGTACTCATCAAACGTCTTTACCCATCCAGCGTCCATGTGCGAATGGGGAATTAAATGGACATTTAAACTGCCCTCTCTTGTTGGGGGACATTGCTGTAAATTAAAAAAAAACTATATTATATCGAAATTAAATTTACAGCACCTCAAAGTTTGAATTTGCTAGTGAACAGTTTATCGTATTTATTTTATTCCCAATTTGCAAGTTATTGTCTAAGATATTGTAAGATTATACTGCGATATATACTTATTTAAATTCCTAGTAAAAATTAGTCAAGTCAAGCTTAAAGTCAAGTATTGCCGTATTAAATAAATAAATAATAAATAAATATTTAACAACATCACATACATTGCTCAGATTCCAAGATGAGTAGCTAAAGCCCCCGTATTATGGAGTATCTGAGACAACGAAGGTACCACAACACCCAGACCCGAGTCAATATAGAAAAGTTCATTTTCTACATTGACCCGACCGGGAATCGAACCCGGGACCTCAGAGATGGCGACACCTTGAAACCGGCGTGCGAACCACTCGGCTACGGAGGTTTGTTTCCTTTATTTTACGAAACAATGTTAGATTATCTTTTAAATAAATTAATTTGAGGACTGAACTTGGTTCCCATTCACATATCAATACTTTCGTAGATGGAGCCGTCAGAAACACCATATTGAGCTTTGACACATTGAACTCAATCAATTTTCATATTTTATATAGTTGGGACATTGTACATCTTTTGAAGTTTCTAATTCATCTAAAAGTGGATTACTTTTTTTATCAGAATGTCAATCCGCCAAAAGCAAAAACGCGAATTTTTCGTCGTAAGTGTTTTCATCGGGTTAAAGAGTTACATTAACATTCAGGCATCACAAAACTTTGCGTCAAATTAACGACAGCCTAACTAAAAGTGCATTCATTTAGATTGGATTTCTCTATTATTCAAAACTATGATTAATTTCATGAGCTATAAAGATGCCGTGGCTGTTAAAATAATCTTTATTCAAAAAGGCTTTTTAAAAGTACTTTTGAATTGTCCAACATGGTAAACGTTGAGCGTTTGAAAACTATTTGGAAAATATCGCTAAAGAAGAGTGCGTCCACTACTTATGTCAGTATAAAAACGGATACTGCTTCGAAAAGCGATAAAAATATTACTTATCCTTTCAGTTTTTACTTTCCATAAACTTTCAGGGTGAGCAAGTTATCCTATAATTTCAAGAAGAGTGCGTCCACAGCAGTATCCGTTTTTATACTTATGTCAGTATAAAAACGGATACTGCTTCGAAAAGCGATAAAAATATAACTTATCCCTTCAGTTTTTACTTTCAAAAACTTTCAGGGTGAGCAAGTTATCCTATAATTTCAAACTTACCTTGTATCCACACTGGATTTTCGGCTTAACAGCCAAAACTAAATTATAATTTATTACAAATATTAAATAATATAGATACATATTCTTAAGCTACTAAACTCTTTTGATCATTTTTAAACAAAACTTTTTTGTGTTTTAATTATTTTTTTCCACTATTCGTCCATTGTTTCCGCCTCGTTCTTTGATTATGAACAGTTTTCACAACGTTATGTCATATGGTTTTGTTTATGGTAAAGCGGTGGTCACATTAGGGATTTGTAGAGATGGAAGATATTCCTTCTTTTACATAATGTTTTGTTCCTAATATACTTTGGCATAACTTTTTGCATAATTGTTTTTTAAGCTGTTATGTGTAAAAGATTTACCTAATTAGGGCAATCAAGACTATAGGTTATATTATAATATAGCATATTTTTATTTGACCTAATTAGCTCCTAATGATATTCTTAATCCACAAGTAGAAAAAGAGAGAATATCTTGGTACCCAATTTGTCTCTACTTGTGCATAAAAAGAAGTGGAAAAGTTGCATAACAGAATAATTAGATTTGTTTATAGCTCTATGTAATAAAGTAAAAATATAACTAGGTAATAGGTAAAATTCAATATAATTTTATCAGTCTAGGCGGTTGTAAGCACTCATAAATGTCGAAAATTACACAATCGGTTCGCAAATCTGCGGTGCGGCCTTGTACTGAGAAGATCTGGTAACGGTCCCTTTTGACAAAGATATTTCAACCTCTTTTTTCGCGATAAGAGTTAACCCATCTTATTCCAAAGTTAACACATGAAAAAATTATATACAAATTTGTTCAATTAATGTGTGGAGATGTAACAGATAGACAGACAGAGGTATGTACTTTCGCAATTTTAATATAAAAAGGGATTTACACGCATTTCGTCGCCTAGTAACTTCAGCAACTTCAACTTAACTTCAATAAATAACCATTATCTGACCAAAATAAGTAAACAAGTCTTCATTTGGCGTCTTTTCTGTCACTTTAGTGCTCAATTTATAATATAACAGATTGTCCTCTGTGAATACACCTTTACCTAGGTTAGGACCCGTTACCACGTAACTATGAACAACAACAGCTAATGTTAACAAACACAGTTTGATATTTCATGTAACACCTTCTCACAAAACTTGTCAAATTCAATCGAACAGTGAATAAAAGAAGATACTTCTTTTTATGTACCTTTTTAGGGTTCCGTGCGCAAGGGTAAAATGGGAATTCTCTTACTATACAGTAGAATTTTTTACAGATGTCTGTTGCCGCTTCAACAATAATAGAAAAAACAAATATTTAAGGTGTCTCCCATACAACGAACGTGATTTTTTGCTGTTACCACCATACGGCTGTAGTTAGACAGTAGAATTTTCACAGATGATGTATTTCTATTGCCGCTTCAACTACAAGTACTAGAAACCAGAATAAAATAAATATTTAAGAGACTAAACAACAAACCCGAATTTTTTTGCTCCTTCCCGGTACGGAAACTTACGTGCGCGAATCTTCTTGCACTTGGACGGTAAGGTTCACTTACCAATTAACCCAGGGATAGCGGCCACTCGGCTACGGAGGTCGTCTCAGGGGAACTATTCTGAAGTCTACACGAAATCCAATAAATAAATAAGAACCTTCCAATCTGCACAGCTTTAAAAATCAAGTATTCTGCCATCAAATACCACAATCTAACCAAGTAATGATATTTCACTGAGTAATTTTAAAGCAACATTAATCTTAATCATTACGTTATATCGGGTTAAGGTTATTAGGAAACGGAAGTCAGTTCTAATGTTTTTAGATACCGGTTATTTGTCAAATGAGTGGTAATACTGGCAACGCATTAAATTGGTGTAAGTACAGAGCAATTAGCGCTTATTTTGATACTTCCTGTAAATAAAGATTATAGTTATAACTTTATAACATAAAAAAAATATATATATTTTGTTCTATAAAATTGTATTCAAAATATTAAACTTATTATGTTAAAAATAAAATTATATTGAATGAAAAGTTTGACAAGTGAAACGTTTATTCCATTTAGAATTAGGTTTAATTTTGAAAAAAGGTTTCCGACATCTTGTTTTTTATATAATTTGAATGCTGATACACATTTATCTTACAGAGTCTCGTGCCTATCTTACGTAAACATGCTCAGGTTTTTTAAGTCAAAATATTAAAAAATTTGTACTAAATTCCAAGTACGAATCTTTCTTAGACCGTTTTTTTTATAAAGCTATTTGGTTTGGTTTATGAATTTTTAAATATCACAGAAACAATCTCCGGTGAAAGGTCTTATGTAGATTCGACCTTTTTTTATCATAATGGCAGATTAATCAATTGATTGAAAAAACTTGGTACCGATTTAATTTTCTAATACTTTGAGACCTTACCTTATAGCTATTCAGTTAATATGGGATACCTATTAATTCAGATAATAGTTTATTTTAATATATTCAATAAAGTTCCGTATAATTGAAAGTGATTAACTATTCTTTTATTTATTGCTGAATAAGCAAAATACAATTACTTATAAGCTTATTCACAAAAACCACGAAAGTTGTATTTGTTTTTTAAAAAGCTTCGTGGTAAGTATACTCAAAAATCATATACTAGATATTGTTTCGATGTCGCTGATTTTGCCTGGCTGTGTCACGCCTTAGCGTGTCATGGCCTTGCGATGTCGGGGGGCGACAGGACCCGAAAGCCGCGGGAATGAGAGTGTCTCAAGGGAGGCCCGAGGGGACAGCCTTGGGACGAGCCCTCAGGAAGCCCAGGTGGGAGGCTCGGGTGGCACTCTCAAACAAAGACGGCAAGGGGGGTGGGATCGCGTATTAATGCATCCCACCCCTCTGTGGATCAACGGGACAGGGCCCCACCCCGTACCCCGGCGGGATTAGCTCGCAGTTACGGTCCACCGTCTGGGAAAGGCTGTGTTATTCACCTAAGTCTTTTTCTTCCCGCAGAGGGCAACTTCTCTCTCCCCCAGAGAGAAGTCCCAGCGCGGATTGGGTCCGAGCCCTCGTTGCTGGATACCGGACTCATTCATTCGCGTGAGGTGAACCGCAGCGGTTTTTACCAGGTAGGGCTTCCACATTAACCTGCCCTTTTAAGGGCGGGGTGGAAAAGGAGCCATGGTTTAAGGCTTAAGGTGCATTTCCCCTGCGTTAACAAAAAAAATTTGTTGTTTCGATAGAATAAAAAATACATTAATTAAAATCGAATTAATTATGAATTGATTTTATTACTGTTTAAAAAAATAACATTAAAAGAACTATTAAGTCGAATCGATACTCTTCTCCTTTTTTAGATGGTTAAAAGGGTGAAAATCTTCGGAAATTAATTCCGAATTGGTTTAGGAATTGCCGACAATGATATCGTCAGCAATGTTCCAAATAAACTTATTATAAGTGGATACTTTTCAATCGTGGACGACATTCAGAAGAAGTACGAACGAAAGAAAATCACCAGCTCTCACAAAAGTAACAACATTTACATTATTATTAACACTAGCTGCGCCCGCGACTTCGTCCGCGTGAGATAGTGACTTGTGGCAGCATCATTAACTTTTAGTGTTCCGTACCCAAATGTTCCGTACATAGGGTAAAACGACAACTCAATTACTAAGACTTGGCTGTTTGTCTGTCTGTCACCAGGCTATAA